TACCTGAGCAGGAGATGTAATATCTCAGGAGGAGATGTAATACCTGAGCAGATGTAATACCTGAGCAGGAGATGGAATACCTGAGCAGGAGATGTAATACCTGAGCAGGAGATGTAATACCTGAGCAGGAGATGGAATATCTGAGCAGGAGATGTAATATCTGAGCAGATGTAATACCTGAGCAGGAGATGTAATATCTGAGCAGGAGATGGAATACCTGAGCAGGAGATGCAATATCTGAGCAGATGTAATACCTGAGCAGGAGATGCAATATCTGATCTCACCTGCCCACACTCACTGCCCTGTGCTGCTGCTCCCTGCAATGGCAATGGGAGAACTCTCCCAGCCAGTCTGACTAGTCCCAGTGATTAACTTTTGTGAGAACTGTGTCAGCTTCAAGGACAGTCGAATTTAACAAAGGGCTGGTTTGCATCAGCAGGCTGTCCTTTGATGCACCAGGAAGGGATTTAGACCCAGACTTCTGACTCTGGGGTAATCAGCAATAAACTCTGTGGGTCCCTCCAACAGCCCTGAGTCCGTGCTGCAGTTTCTGACACCACATCTACCTGTTCCAAACCCAGCTCTAGCAAGCACCTCACTGTGACAAATGAACACAGCACTTGTTTCCCAGGAAGGCTGTGAAACGAGGCAGAAGGAAGTGGACTTTCCTCCTTTCAGTTACTGAGAGGAGTTTCCACTGAGGTGATGTTTCATCAGACAAAATCTGCAAAGCACAGGAATTCCTTCCTAAGGGAAATAATGAATCACTGGACAGTTTAAACTTCAACCATTAAAGTCATGTCCTCGAAAGGACAAACAAAACATGTGCTGACTCCTCTGAACAGGAACTAATCTGCAAAGCCATTTTCTTCCTCTGCTGCTTAACAGCTTTCCTGGGACAGAGCAGCCAAGCCCAGCCTGGGCAGCTGCAGGAGCCAGCCAGGGCCAGACCTGCATAGAGGATCTGCTCCTCCCGCAGCGGCCGCTTCTCCCAGTTGGAAAGCTGCTCTGTTTTATCCAGAGGCTTCCCCAGCACGTGCTGCACCAGGAGGCTGAGCCCCTTCTCCGGCTGCCTGAGCCCTCTCTGCTCGTGGCTGTGCTCTGGGGATAGTCCATCCACCTTCTGGCCGTCCTTCCCCCGCTGCAGCTGAGGAAACAAAGAAGACAGAGACCACCTGGTTATGGAGCAGCTCCCAAAGCACCTCCTGCTCCAGCTGGGGCCAGGCACAGCCCCATCACATCCACCTCGTGCCTGGCAAACTGAACCCCAGTCCTCACACAAGGGCTGGGATGGCACGAGACAAACGTGGCATTGGGTTATTTAACAAACACACTTCTGGAGAGAAATCTCTTCCATAGCCAAGGAAGGGCAAAAGGGCAAAAGGGCATTCTTGTACAGCCCTGCAGCAGAGCAGCAGGGACGGGATGAGGCTCCTTAGGGGTCTGCAGGGTGCTCCCCATGCTGGAGGCTGCTGGGCATCCACTCAGTAAAGGACCAGCAGTGGTTCAGCACCTTTCTCCTCCTAGTCCCGGTGGGAAAAGGCATTTCTGTGACACCCTGGGCAGCAGAGCCCTCCCTGCAGCTGCCCTTTCTCACTTAAACTGAGGCAGTGGCTGTTGGTAGCTATGGCAGCCCCTGCAGCACTTCCTGGGTCAAGCTATCAATCCCAAAGACCTTCTTCACCTCAACCCACAGCCTCACACACACTCTGGACATTTTACCCATTAAAATGGTTGTGCTGAACATTTTTGCAGACTGCTGAGAGCTCCTGTGTGCAAACCCAGGGACAGCTGTGCTTCAGCTGAGCAGAAATTCCTGTGCTGAACCCACCAGCAGGCCCCCAGGAACATCAGAGTTCTGTACAAATCATTAACTCCATCATATCTGCTTCAATAATGCATGACCTTGGAGTAGCAGAATTTCTACAAGAACTTCCTCTTCCTAAGTGTGTGTAACTTGTGCTCAGAAACCTTGTCCTGGCTGAATGGAGATGGGTCTCCAAGAGCTTTTCACAGCTTTTATAAAGTCTATGAAAAAGCTGTCCGTATCATAAGCTTTAATTTTTAATTGATGAAAACAAAATACTTCTTCCTGTACAGAATCCCAACACCTCCGATCCTCTAGAGGAAATGGTCTCTTTATTCATGCAGCCATCTCCCTGCCAATCCTGGATGCAAACAGACTGTGCAAGCCAGTGCTGTGGATCCAGGACAGTTATCCACCAGCACATTTCCCACATCTCCATGTGCTCATCCTTACTTGTTGGTGCAGTGCAATGAGATCCACCACTCCCTGCATTTGCTTCTCCGTGTCTCCCAGAGCAGAACACGTGGCTGCAAGGCTGCTGAGGTCTCCAGACATCCCATAACCTGGAGACAAAAAAAGCCCAAATCACACAGGTAGGAAAACTCAAATTACCGTTAATGCACTGCAGCTTCTTCTAGTTCAGGGTCAAAATGCTGACAAAATATTTATAAGCATTGGTGGGAAGACGGTTCAAACAGGGAACAAGACTGACTCCTGTCTCTTCTGTTCCAAAGAGACACTCCAGAAGATCCAAGGAGAGAGATGGATGAAAAATGCTGAGTTTAAGATAAACTTATTTAAAATTTTGGGAAGTTATTTATGAATTTGCCCTTGAAATCCAGGCAGCTCCTGATAAAAGCCTCCAAAAACCATGTAGGGTAATTCAGAGATATCTGGTGTCCAGCACAGCAGCTCTGGGACAGGGACAGCACATCCTGACAGCTCTGCACACCAGAGTTACCTGAAGCACTGAAGGTTGGGTGGCAGTTGGGGATTAGTACAGAGCTAGGACAGGCCCAAGTCTGAGAGTGCAAGTCCAATCAGGGATCTTGGATCTGACCTGGAATGGGGAGATATAACAGCTGGAGCTGTGTCAGGCCAGGCTCAGGCTGCAGCTCAGGGCAAGGTTCTTCCCCCAGAGGCTGCTGGCACTGCCCAGGCTCCCCAGGGAATGGGCACGGCCCCGAGGCTGCCAGAGCTCCAGGGATGCCCAGGGTGGGATGTTGGGGGGTCTGGGCAGGGCTGGGAGCTGGGCTGGGTGATCCTGGGGGTCTCTCCCAGCTCAGGATTTTCTGTGGTTCTCTGATCCTGTAATTCTACCATTCCCAGTCACTGCTTCCTGGCCTGGCAGTGCCTGGACACTCAGGGTTACAAAAGCTGGTTCCATGGCAAGTGGATTTAGGGAATGACAACACCAAGAGGATTGAGAAATGACAAATTTGACAAAAGAGGATGTGTGAAGCCCTGAGGTGGGGAGGAGAGAGGGGTGTTACCTAGTTTAGTGATGGCTGCGTCTGAATAGAGCATCTGGATGAAATGGGGGAGCTTCTCCTTCTGCCCCTCAGCCTCAGCTTGCTCGAGGAGCCGTGGCAGGTCCAGCAGGAACACCTCATCCTCCAGTGCCAGTTGCAGGAGGGCGACACGGGGCTTCCCCACCATGCCAAAGGATGGCTTCCACTCCATGTCCACACCAACCACCTGCCCAGGCTGCAACACACACACTTTCTGCACCCAGAGCCTGCCTGGGCTTGAGAGCAGCCCGGACAGTCTGTCCAGGACACGAGCATTTCCTTCCCAGCGCCTGCAGCTCTTTGTGCAGAGTGCCACAGACACAGGGTCACCCACGGGAACCTTCCCTGGCACAATTCCCAACAGCTTTCCCCAAACCAGAGCAGCCCAGAGAGCTGTTCTTGGCTTAGGGAGGCTGCAGTGGATGGCAGTGGCCACATCCAGCTCTGTGTGTCAGCCTGACATGGAGCCCCAGCTCCCTGAGCTGCCAGGCCAGCCCCAGCTCACTCTCACCTGCAGCACCTTCTCCCAGCACTGCAGCGTCTCCTCCCACGTCTGCAGAAAGTGAATATTTTCCCGTGGAATAGGAAGCTGGTAACAGTCCTTCTTCTTACTGGCCTCATAATTATCTGCTTTTGTGACCTCTTCTACCCTGCACAGAATCAGATGCAACAGTTTGAAGCTATGGAAAGCCAGGAGGAAATCCTGGATTGGAGCAAGAGGGATAAGTTTTACTCCCCTTACTTCACCTGGACCCTCTCTTTCCCCATGACACCTCTTTTTCAGAGAAAAGAAACTAAATCCAAAAGATCCAGGCCCCTTGGACAGATCATACATTTCCAGATAGTCTCTTTCCCATGGAGACTCAAAACTGTTCATTATTTGGGAAACTACTGGTAACCTTATGTTTGGGAGGCTGTGTGCCCAATCCTGCAGCAGAGCAGCTCTCCCTGCAAACACTCCTTCCCGTGGGTTTGTGTGCATGGGGAAGTCAATATTTGTGTAAAATATTTAATGAAGGTGTGCAGCCTCAGGTCTCCAGGAATATTCTCAGCTGCAGAGCTCAGGAGCCCTGTGTGGTGTGAGCAGGGACAGATGATGCCACTGCTGTGCTGGTGCCACCTTGTTGTGTGCAGTGTGAACTCCCTCTGGGAGCCTGTGGCTGTGTTACTCAATAGCCAGGGCAGCCAGACTGCTTCATGGAGCTCCATGGCTCTGCTGCCTTTACAGCAGCCACCACAGCAGGGACCATGACTGGATGAGTAAACTGCAGCACAAAGGGCTTTATCCATCCATCCATCCATCCATCCATCATCCATCCATCCATCCATCATCCATCCATCATCCATCCATCCATCCATCCATCATCCATCCATCATCCATCCATCCATCCATCATCCATCCATCATCCATCCATCCATCATCCATCCATCCATCCATCATCCATCCATCCATCATCCATCCATCCATCATCCATCCATCCCAGCTCCTCAGGCAGGGCAGAGCACACCCTCACCTGCCTTCCCTCCTCAGCACAGCATTCCCACAGCACAGAGATGTAGTGATGGGTTTTATCTCTGGGTGCACAGTCTGCCTCAGCCACACACCTGTGGCCACTCCTTTGTGTTTTGAGGGTGATTGCATCTGTGTTGTATTTCCTGAGATGACATGGTGCTTCAACAAGTGCAGATCTGCACCAGGAGAAAGAGATCCACGAAACCAGGATCCCTGAACATGAACTGTTCAAGGCCCTCTGTGAGACTTTCCCAAAATCATCAGCATTACAAAAAATAATAATTAGTAAAAGTTTGACAGATCTGCAGTCACCTCAGAAAAACAGATTTTGATCTGGTAGAGGAAGTTTAAGAACCCCCAGCGCCATGAAGCAATCTCACAGAGCTTCTGTGTACTCAGGATGAGTTTAAAATGCCCCTTTCACAAACATCTCCAGGCTTATGACAAACAAGTGAAGCGTGTGCAGGGCCACAAGGGGATCCAAGTATGTGGAGGAAGCCGCTGCAAACTTCTGTCCCTGAGGATGCATCACGGCAGGCGATTTTAAGCCAATCTACAGTGTCTGTATGACAAACAATCTGCATGGAAAAGGCAGCAAACAGGGCTTTACCTGTCCTGGATGTGCAGTTTCTGCAGCTCCTTGGCCAGCGGCAGGGGCAGCATGTCGGGGGGCAGCCGGCAGTGGTGCGCCCATCGCGCGGCCCCGCGCGCGTCGCAGTGCCGGAGCAGCGACTGCAGCAGCTGTCCTTGGAGCCAGCGATTGTCCCCGACCGTGCTCTGCAAGGCCAGGGAAAGGCAGCTGTCAGGGCAACTTCCATCGTGGGCAATTCTCCCCTTCCCAGGAGAACAATCCTCGTAAAAACCTCATTCATTCCTTAGAGCTAGTCTGAATCGCCCCTGTTTATTTCAGAGCCATCAGCTCTCGCTCTGTTAACAGGTCCTGCTGAAAGCTCTGTCCCCATCTCATTTATTGGCCCTCTTTAAGTACTGAAAGGTCTCCCTGGAGCCTTCTCCAGGCTGAGCACCCCCAGCTCTCCCAGCCTGTCTCCAGAGCAGAGGGGCTCCAGACCCTGGAGCATCTTCTTGGGACGGCTTTTTTAGGACAGACATTCCCTGTGCCCCCAGGGCAGATGGTGGTGTGGGGTCTCCTCCATCCTTGGAAGTATTTGCACGGATTGTTGGGATTTCCAGTCATCCATAGGTGGCAGGGAGGGCACATCAGCAAAGCTTTCAGAGCCAGGAGAGGGCTGACATCAGCCTCCACCAGCTCCTCCCCAGCCAGCCCACACGTGCTGCAAACACCTGGAACCCCCACAGCAACTTCTCCTCTCTGACCCACTCATGGATCTGCCTTGAAGTTAATACAGCAGAAAACTGCTAAGACAAGCTGAAACCCTGTGTGGTGGCCCAGGACCTGTAGCTCTAGGACTGGCAAACGAGAATTTCCGAGTGAAATGCTCAGATGTGCACTGGAAGTGCATCCCCAGGCTGCCCGCACTGCCCGGGGCACGGAGCTGCTCCCAGGGAGGGCAGCGCTGCTCTGCTCATGTAGGAACAGCTCGCACGGGTGGGAGGCTGTGGCCATGGGGCCTCATTCCTCACATTCCTCCAGTAACTAAAAGGTGAGAATTTGTCTTCAAAGCAGACACAGAGATCAGGAAACAAATCTGCCGATGGCCCCAAGGTAAAAAGGAAGGGAAACAGAGAGCGAAGGAGAAAAAAGAATGAAAAAAGGAATGACCCCCGCCCAGAGGTGCAGAGGCTCAGAGCAGCTGGCAGGGATCTGGCAGCCCAGGCAGCAGCAGCCTGCTCCCAAAAACTGCTCACCAGAACTGCTCCCAAAAACTGCTCCCAAAAACTGCTCACCAGAACTGCTCCCAAAAACTGCTCCCAAAAACAACTGCTCACCAGAACTGCTCACCAGAACTGCTCCCAAAAACTGCTCACAAAAACTGCTCCCAAAAACTGCTCCCAAAAACTGCTCCCAAAAACTGCTCACCAGAACTGCTCCCAAAAACTGCTCACCAGAACTGCTCCCAAAAACTGCTCACAAAAACAACTGCTCACCAGAACTGCTCACCAGAACTGCTCCCAAAAACTGCTCCCAAAAACTGCTCCCAAAAACAACTGCTCACCAGAACTGCTCACCAGAACTGCTCACCAGAACTGCTCCCAAAAACTGCTCACCAGAACTGCTCCCAAAAACTGCTCCCAAAAACAACTGCTCACCAGAACTGCTCCCAAAAACTGCTCCCAAAAACAACTGCTCACCAGAACTGCTCACCAGAACTGCTCCCAAAAACTGCTCACAAAAACTGCTCCCAAAAACTGCTCCCAAAAACTGCTCCCAAAAACTGCTCACCAGAACTGCTCACCAGAACTGCTCCCAAAAACTGCTCCCAAAAACTGCTCCCAAAAACAACTGCTCACCAGAACTGCTCCCAAAAACTGCTCCCAAAAATTGCTCCCAAAAACTGCTCCCCAGAACTGCTCACCAGAACTGCTCACCAGAACTGAACTGCTCACCAGAACTGAACTGCTCACCAGAACTGCTCACCAGAACTGCTCACCAGAACTGAACTGCTCACCAGAACTGCTGCCCCAGCACTCTGGCACATGGCACAGCACAGCTCTTCTCGGGGATGTGTGGAGGAACAGTTTTGGTGCTGTTCCAAGGGGCTGGGGGCACAGCAGGAGCCAGGGGGAGCAGGACAGGCTCCAGCAGCTCTGCAGGGGCTCAGGTACCGAGGGGAAGGGGCAGGAGAAGGACAGGACACGTTCTCCTGCTCGTGATTCTGGCCCTCTGCATCTCCCCTGGCCATGCCAGTCCTGACCTTTGTGCCTCTGTCCCCTCTCTGCCTTCTGTGACTGAGCTCAGCCAAGCACTGAGCATGTGAAGAGGGGCTGAGTTGAAGCCTCCTGCACATCTGCCAAGCCACTTCTGAGTCCTTCCCAGAAAGAACATATTTTCTTACTAACACTGCAGAGCAATTCCCTCTTCTTGCTCCCCCTGTGTCCATCCTATTGTATTCCAGTCTTTTTACTAAAACACAAACTCTTTGGTCTTGGAGCTTTCTTCAGTTCACCCTGAGTCAGTTCTTAATAAATCTCATCGTGGCAGCTTTATTTCTGGAAATAACGAGGTGCAGATTTTTTTTATATTACTTTAATGATAACAGATTTCTTCTTTCAACCACAAAAAACAACTCTGTAAAGAAGGTTAATCTCTCCAGAGATATTCCATCTTGTATTCTGAAACAGAAAATAGTTTTGTTTGTTTACTGAAAAAAAGAAAAAGCCCAACATTGCTCTAAAGGGGAAAGGCTTCCACCGCAACAGCTCTGCAAGAGGCAAGAATGTGGAAACTTTGGCCCCAGAAGATGTGGGCACAGATGCAGAGAGCAATGTTTCAGCAGGGATGACATTTCATGGGCTTTGCTGTCAGTAAATGAACACTCCTCAAGAGGAAATTGGCACCGCTGTTCTGATCAACATCAGCGACACCTCTGAGCAGCAAAAGATTCTACAGAGCATGAGGCTTGTTTACATCCCTCCTGGAATTCTAGACATATCATACATTCTTTAATCCATAGGAGCACACAGAAACCCCTGACACCAACAATAATCCACGATTAAAGCTTTCCACAGCGACGGCTGCAGATTTCCTACCCGTAAATCCTGTTCTCACTGCCAAGGCTCCACAAAGCTCACACCAACCACACAGGGCAAGCTCAGCAATGTCCTGACCTTAACCCATCAACCATTTCTCCATTGGTACCAATCATTTTGAAACCAAATATCCAATATCTCCCTTGGAAATCGCTCTGTCCAGCCCTAGATGGGTTTTATCTGTATGTGTTAAGCTACATTTCAGTCCCAGCCAATTCTGCCCTTTGCCTCAGCATCTTTTCCCAAAGAGGGACGTTATTCACACCACTGACACTGGCTATTTGCAGAGTCAGATTTTAATTTAACTTTTGAATGTCTTGGCCAATTTCCCCCGTTTTCAAGTGCTTCCAGAATCAACAAAAACCCCTCCTGCTAGTGTAGAGAAAATGTCAAGGAGAATATTTTAGAGTCAGCAATTTTAAAAGGGGAAAAAGAAATCCAGACTTGAAAAGGACAAACCCCTGTCAGCAGTGGAGGGCACTGACAGCACTGCTGAGCTCCCTGTGGTGTGGCAGGTACAGACACCTGTGCTTAAGCATTCCACTGTCACTGCAGTTTTATTGTATTTGTGCTCCAGGTTTCTGTGTCAAAGTTTCCATCATTTGTGCTGCACGGGGAGATGCTGCAGTGTCACCATCAGATGTCACTGAAGGGAACTAACTGAAGTGTCAGGGTGGAGCTGGGACCCTCAGAGCCAGCTCAGACCATGGCACAGCCTGTTCCCTACAGGGAGGGGGATCCTGCCCTCTGGAGAGCCTGCAGAGATCCTGGAATCCCAGAATGGTTTGGGTTGGAAGAGAAAACCCATCCAGTTCCAACCCCAGCCATGGCAGGGACACCTCCCACCGTCCCAGGGTGATCCAAATCCCGTCCAGCCTGGCCTTGGGCACTGCCAGGGATCCAGGGGCAGCCCCAGCTGCTCTGGGCACCCTGTGCCAGGGCCTGCCCACCCTGCCAGGGAAGGATTTCTCCCTTATGTCTAATCTAACCCTGCCCTCCTTCAGCTTGAGGCCATTTCCCCTTGTCATGTCACTGTCTGCCCATGTAAAATCCCTCTCCCTCTTTCCCACAAACCCCCTTCAAGTGGTGGTGGGATTAGCACTGCCCTGCATTCCCCAGGCTCCTCTCCACACAGACCAACAGCTTCCCAAGGATCTCCCGGGCGAAGAACACCCAAGATCTCATTTACCCAGAACACAGGATGGTCCTGATCACGCTCAACAATACTACACAGAGATCCAAACACATTTCCTGCACTGGGATTCCTTCCAAATTTTTGTCAGGCAGCCCTCGAGGGAAGTAATTAATTTTCAACAGATGAAGTCATCGTGTCTCCAAAATCTGCTGCAGCTGCCACAGATGTGAGCAGGTACAGAGCAGAGGGAAAGAACCAACACAGCTTTCAGAGGCAGAGCTGGAGAGAGAGAATTTTCAAAATCACTGAGGAAGAGGCTGATACATTTCCTTCAGCACATTGTTGGACATCCTCTGCAGGCCTTCACTCAGCTCACAGAGCCTCAGAACAGATGAACCTGCTGCTGGCAGCAGCTCCATGGCACAGACACCTCCCTGCACAGAGATGAAAGGCTCCAAACAGGAGTGAGGATCCACTGAAGTGAATCTGGTGTGATCACTCCTGCATTTCACTTCAGTACTGGATAGCAATATTTCTTGGCTGGAGAAAGCAGAAACCCAAACAGAAATGGAGGAGCATGGAATGTCCTGAGCTGGAGGAGACCCACAAGAACCAGAGAGTCCAACTCCTGTCCCTGCCCAGACCCCCCAACATCCCACCCTGGGCATCCCTGGAGCTCTGGCAGCCTCGGGGCCGTGCCCATTCCCTGGGGAGCCTGGGCAGTGCCAGCAGCCTCTGGGGGAAGAACCTTGCCCTGATGTGCAGCCCAAAGCTCCCAAATAGATATTTAGCAGGTTTAAGAGGGAAGGTGCAATACTCTACAGGGACATTATTGGCACTGACACTTGAGGACAGGCTTCTTGATGCAGAGGGCACCATGGAACACAGTGAGATAACAAAACTCATCCTGACACTGATCCCACTCCCCACTGACTGAAAATACTGTCCTAGGAAATCTGCCCTCACTGCCCAG